TTACGTATATCCATACATAAATACTGCGAGACCGATTGACACTTTACAGAGACTTCAGCTGTGTAACATACCAAAAGTTATCATGTTTACGCCTCTATTATCTTTTTTGTTGCAGCACAATCGGTTGCATGATATAAAGATACTGTGCAACTACAAAATCACGCACGCCGTGTATTATAAAGAACTGATGATGCCACTAGTACGCTCCTATCTCGCTACGAAAGACATCAATACTTGTATAACATTATTGATGGCGTTTCCACAAGGTCAAGATTTCATCGGCTTTTTTTTGAAAGCATTGATGAAATATTCGATTTCGCAAAACGAATTTGAGCTTATTTTGGAAGAATTGACAAAACATAAGGCGAGAATATCGCAAGAGGACGCGAGCATTCTTAAGAATCGACTGCAAAACAAAAATTTTAGTCTCAAAATTATGAACTTAATAGACGATCTGCATAATCCTTTTGTAAAAAATGTTCCGCCAATGTCCCATATGATGTTTATGAACACCAAGGAATTAACATATTACATGGTGGAGCTGAAGCACAAGGAAGCCAATATTCAAAATATTCTGCAAAAATTGCTGTTTATGCACTGTATCGAGAACAATCTCAAACAGGCCGAAGTGATAAAACGGGAATACGATGCGTGCCAGTACAATTTGACGCCCGGCATAAAGTCGTTTTTATTCGAATTATATCTCAATCACGACAAGCTGAACGAGGCCGAAGCGCTGATGGCCGATTTGCAGACGTCCGATAAAATCGAGTTAGACAGAATCAAAATTGTTATGTACGCCATCGCATTGGTGAAGGCGGATAATCCTGCAAAGGCTTTTAATGTTATTGAGAATATCAGTACCATCGATCACGAAATAAACGCGCAAGATTATTGTTGTACACTTCTGGAGGTTCTAGCAAAGAGTCGGTATCGCGCGCGCACGGCGGACATGTTAAATCTGCTCTTGAAGAGAAATTACTGTGAAATAACCATGGAATTGTTAAGGCCATTGATGATGATATCATTAGAATGCAACAAAATCCAGGACACTGTAAATGTACTCGCGGAATACGCGCAAAAGTATCATGAAGCGCCGTTAGCACTGGAAGTGTTGACAGTATTGTTGCAAGAGAAGCACAGTAAGCACAGTACAAATTTGTACGATGCGAATAACTATATAGAACAAGTATATGATATAATAACTACTACCTATTCCGTCGATGTGGCAAACACAATACTGGCGATAGCATTAGCGACATTAAACAAAAAAAAGAAACTGCAGACTTTATTACAGGTAATTGAAACGTTTCTAATTATGGCATCTAGTTTATACAGGATGTTTGAAAATTCAACTGACAAACTTTCAGAGATTGTCGGGGACATAAAAAAAACATTTTTTGCAAATGAACCTAGCGGCGGAAGCGTTACACGCTACGGCCGACAGTGTTCGGAAAAGGTCGGACTTCAAAATATCTCGAAAAATATATTTTACAAAAAAATTATAAATAAATAGATCTTTTTATACCTTACAACTTTTGTCTGAAACAATTTTTAAAAATTTATATTTTTTGAGATATTTTGAGGTCTGACCTTTTTCGAACACTGTCTGCTGTAGCGATGTAACGACACGTTTCTGCCCCTAGGTCCATTTGCAAAAAATGATCCTTTTAGTGTCCCCGACAATCTTTAAAAATTTTCTGTTAAATTTTCAAACACTGTATTGTTCCCTAATTTAAAATTTACTCGCGAAATTGATCGAAGCTAAAATTCCATTAAAATTTCACGGAATTGTTTAATATGAAAAGAAGGCAAAAAATATTTATATATTTAATAAAAGATTTATAAGATTTTTACATATTGACTGTAAAATAATTACATATTACATTTTTTATTGTATGGAATTTTTCTTTAATCTTTGAGATATATATATATGTATACATATATATATTTTGTAAGGAGAATATTAATATTTTTTAAAAATAATTTAGTTTTCAGGTGATTTTCTACAATCTTTCGAAATACGATTAACTTCGTTATATTTTCTTGATTTACATTCTTTTCATTAAACCTTTCTAATCTTTTTGTTACAGAATTACAATCTCTCCATGAAATGCCTTGTATATTATGTCTTTAATGTAAAAAGTAACAGTGGTTTTGACGGCTTGCAAAATATCTTAAAAGTAGCCGATGCGAATCATGTAAATCAAACTGCTATGTGTGATACGCTCCTTATCGCTTACAGTAAGTTGTATGTCCTTTCTTTGCAGTTTATGGTATATTGATATTAGAATTGATATTAAAATTAACGTTAATGATATTTATATTTGTAGGTCGAAAGGGAGATTGCAACCGTGCTTTAGAACTGTGGAATATTATGTGTACAAAGAATATTGAGCCTAGTGAAGTGTTCAAGAATAATTTTGTTCAATTTTTATTGTCAAACAAAATTCCGCTGCCGCCAGAATTGGACGGAATAAAAAAAATTGTATAGACTAAATATTAGTGAATTTGAATACTAAAGTTCTTGGCCATTCATCACTACTGTTTTAGATTGTGATGTCAGAAGCGAGAACACTCACAAACTCATCATGCACAATAACAATTTTTCAGAATATATTCAAGTAGAAATATTTTTCAGTAAAACATTTGCAATCGATAGAGAGAATAGACAAAAAATACCGAAAATTTTCTTTTTGTTTTGGGGAGGAATTCAATCAAATTTATCATAACTGTGAACATGACTTATTTCGTTTTTAGTTATGCATATTTTATTCCAGATATATGATTATTTATTATAATGGCTCGTTCAACAGACAAAGCAAATTATCGAACGCTCAGTGATTATTATAATTAGTTTCTACACTTAAGCCTAGCGAAAGACTAAAGATAAGAATCAATTATATTAAAGAATTACTGAACGCTGATCTGCTTTATCTGTTGAATGTGCCCATTTATTAAGGGGGGAGGGGTAAGGTTAATTCGGTGAAAAAAGGTATGTTTTTAAGAATTTTTTTTGGCGATACAGATAGTGTTAGTTTATTCAGTCAATTTCCATATAATAATGCAACATTTGAACAATAT